TACCGCGGCAGGGTAATACTCAATGGATTTTGCCGGAGAAACTTTTGGGTAAATCCAAAGCAATGGGCCATCTTGCCATAAAAGCCCTGAAGGTTGAACACATGTAGGGAGAATACACAAAGTAATTGGCTCACCTTCCTTAACTCTTTTTAAACATGCCTTTTGTAACTCATGCTGTACCTTTCGTAGTGAATCACGTGCCTCATCCGTAAGCTGTCTTGGAGAATCTAATGCAGAGTCTCCTTGTAGCATGTTATATAAGGGCTTAAGTTCATAATTTGGCAGCTTTAAATAACATCGGATCCAATTAATGTCTCCCAATAATTTTTGATAATCATTCAGGGTTTTTAAATGATCCTTCCTCAATTCTACCTTTTGGGGTACAATATGAGATTTATGTATGGTAGCCCCTAAATATTCAACAACAGAGTGTTGTACTTTCTCAGGGGCAATAAACAAGCTTTTAGCATTTAACAGCTTGGTAAGTTCCTCATAAGCTTTATGTAGTAATTGCTCTGATTTAGAAGCCAACAAAATATCATCCATATAATGAATGCAGCGCACCTTGGGATATTTTTGTCTAAGCAGCTTAAGAGCCTCGGTCACGAATAACTGACACATGGTTGGACTGTTTGCCATGCCCTGGGGAAGTACTACCCATTCGTACCTTTTGTCTGGTTCCTCATGATTACAGGAAGGGAGGGTAAAAGCAAAACGTTCAGTGTCCCTAGCAAATAATGGAATAGAAAAGAAACAATCCTTTATGTCAATGACTATAACAGGCCAATTTTCAGGTAGGGAAGAAAGAAGCGGTAAGCCCCTCTGAACTGGACCCATAATTTGCATTTGTCCATTGATTGCATGCAAGTCATGTAGCAATCTCCACTTTCCGGATTTCCTTTTTATTACAAAAATAGAAGTATTCCAAGGAGAAACAGAAGGCTTAAGGTGCCCCAGTTCTACCTGTTCTTGTACTAGAGTTTGAGCAGCAGCAAGCTTTTCCGAGGGCAGTGGCCACTGAGGCACCCATACTGGATCCCCCGTCTTCCAAACTATGGGAATGCCCGCCCCAGTGGCCGCTATGAAAAACCCAGTCCCTGTTTGTCTAACTTTTGTTTTACTTGGATGGGCTCTTTATTGCCTTGTAGAAATTTCCCTAGGCCAAAGCCAGGATGATACCCCATGCGAGTCATCATCTCTTGGGAAACAGCTGAATATTCATTGCTCAGAGTAGGGAGCTGGTGGCTCACGCCTGTAATCCTAGCTACTCAGGAGGCTGAGATCTGAGGATCGCGGGTTCAAAGCCAGCCCGGGCAGGAAAGACTGTGAGACTCCTATCTCCAATAAACCACCAGAAAACCGGAAGTGGCGCTGTAGCTCAAGTGGTAGAGCGCTGGCCTTGAGCTGAAGAGCTGAGGGACAGCACTCAGGCCCAGAGTTCAAGCCCCACGTTGGGCGCCACTTGTCGCGACCGCCTCTACCCGCAAGGATGACGCGACAACAGGTTCTTCTCTCAGGCGGTTTATTCAGGACCTTGTTTACAGCTTCTTCTCTCCTGCTTGCTTCTGCCCTCTTCTTCATGTTTCTTCCCATCCGCGCCCGCGCTCCGGTTATAAGCCTCCTGGATGGCCAATCCTGAAGCGCCACGTGGCATATACCAATAGGGCTGTAAACACGGAAGCAAACTAGGAGCCAAGTCATAGCCATATAAGGAGTTGTTTTTTACAGAGAGCACTCGTTGCTGGGAAGACGGAAGGCGGGAGCCAGCGCCATCTTAGGTCGGGGCCGCAGCCCCGCCATTTTTGCGGCTGCACCTTGGACCAAGGAGCTACAATGTTGCTTTTGCAGCCGTCTGTGGTCGCGGCAGCTCTCCACAACTGTAAGGATCAGTGCCTATGTCTCATGCTTATAATTCAAGCTACTCAGAAGGCTGAGATCTAAGGAATGCAATTTGAATCCAGCCTGGGCAGGAAAGTCCGTGAGACTCTTGTCTGCAATTAGTCATTAAAACGTTTGTAGTGGAGCTGTGGCACAAGTGGTAGAATACTCCACTAATCTTAAGTGAAAAAGCTAAGGGCCAGTGATCAGGCCCTGGGTTCAAACTCTCCTACCAGCACTAGAAAAAATAAGGGTACTTCTAAAGTTTGAGACATTCATCAATGATAACACTGTACTCCAAATATAGAATGGATTAGTTACTTGGTGAATTAATTTCTTTTGGTAGTACTGAGGCTTGAACTCAGGGACTCTGTACTGCTTGCTGACTCAGCTGGCACCCTAACACTTGATCCATGGCTCTATCCCTGCTTTTTCCTGCTTATTTTGGAGATGCAGTCTACAGTGATGTATGTCTGCTATCCTACAGAAAGCATACATAGAAAGATAAGCCTGAGACTGTTTGAAAAAAAAAAAAAGAACAAAAGCAAAAAAGCCTGGAGGCATGGCTCATGTGATAGAGAGCTTGCCTAGCACTTGTGAGGACCCACGTTCAAACCCTACCACCACCACACAGACCATAAAAATGTGTGCGTGAGACACCACTGAGTCCTGAGCTGCTTAAGTCCATGTGCCAGAACCAGGTGCTTCCGATATGATGGGAACAGCTTGGGGACAGGCCCAGCCACAGCCCCCACGTCAAATCATAGTTCTTCCCTCCAGGCTAAATTGGTATCTGAATTTATAGCACTGAAGGCCCTATTTGTCTGCTCGGGCAGCCGTACCAAAGCAGCACAGACTGGGTGGTGTCAGCAACCAAAATGTATTTTTTTCACAGTTCTGAAGTCCAAGAGCGAGGTGTTGGCAGATTCAGTTTCTCCTGAAGCCTCTCTCCATGGCTTGCAGATGGTCACATCCTTACTGTGTCCTCATATAGCCTTTTCTCTTCTCACACATCCCTGGTGTCTCTACTTTAACTGTCATCTCTCTCCCTCCCCCCGCCCCTCTGTTACTGTGGTTTGAACCCAGAGCCTTATGTATACTTTTTTTTTGGGGGGGTCCGGTCGTGGGGCCTGAACTCTGGGCCTGGGCACTGTCCCTCAGCTCTTCAGCTCAAGGCTAGCGCTCTACCACTTGAGCCACAGCGCCACTTCCATCTTTTTCTGCTTCTATGGTACTGAGGAATCCAACCCAGGGCCTCATGCATGCAAGACAAGCGCTCTACCACTGAGCCACCTTCCCAGCCCCCCTTATGTATACTTAAGCCAGTATTCTGCCACTGAGTTACATCCTCAGCCATAAAATTCTTCTTCCTTCCGACACCCCATCTCTCTCTACATGTTCTCACTGCCACCTTGATTTCTCTTCCTCCTCCTCCTTTTACTCCTCCTCTTCTTTCTTTTTGCTGGTCCTGGAATCTGAACTCAGAGCCTGGATGCTGTCCCTGAACTTTATGTGCTCAAAGCTAGCTAGTGCTCTACCACTTGAACCACAGCTCCACTTGTGGCTTTTTGGTGGTTCATCAGAGATAAGAGTCTTATGAGATTTTTCTGCCTGGACTGGCTTTGACCTGTGATCCTACAGATCTTAGCCTCTTTAGCAGCTAGGATTACAGATGTGAACCACAGGCACCAGACTACTCAGTCTTTTTTAATTTCCATCCCTCCCCTTATCAACCCCAAATCATGGTGGTGGTTGAATTTTAAAAACTGCCTTTGACTCTTGCTTTGTCATTTATAATTCTGTATTGTAAAAGTGACTTCGCTTCTCTGATTCGTCTGTGAGACGGGTGAAGATTTAACAATACAGTCTGTGCGATGCATTTAGCATAGATGCACACTTAGGACCCCCAAACTGAAATTCCTATTAGGGGTTGTTGGAGATTCTGCAGAGCGCAAACCGCAGTGGCAGAGGAAACTCCCTCCTGTCCCCTCGCCCAAAGCTGGAGGGACAAGCAGGGGCGGCGGTGACATTCCCAGGAACAGTAAACACTTTGGGTAGGTCCGTGTTCCTTCGCTTACCTTTGCTTAATCCCAGCGCCCGGCGCGCAGGCGTCACCCTCGGCTCCCTCAAAGTTTAGGGCGCCGCCTCCCACAGCGCCGGGCCCAGAACGGACTACATTTCCCAGAGTGCGCCTCGGGCGGGGGCCCCTGAGGGTCACCCAGCTCCCCGGTCCAGCTGCGTTTCGGGCTCGGGCGGCATTGTCCATTCACTCAGCTCCTAGATTTCGGCTTCCTAAGCGCGTGCGTTATCCTCCACCCCCATCTTGGGGGCATGAGTCCCACTCCTCTCTTTCCCCACAGAATGTGGTCCTCACTATCTGTGGGGAACCATTGGTCCTTTCCTCTCGGCGTCCCCAGATACAGGAGGAGAACCCGACACCTCGCTTTCCTCCCCAAGACACGTCCATCGGGTCCTATCTCAGCCGGCAGCTCACAATGAGGGTCCGGGAGACAGACCGGAGGCCGCACGGCCCGCGGAACTACAACTCCCAGGCGGCATCGCTGCGATTACGTCATTCCGACACCTCCAGCAGCCTGGGGAAGAGCCGCGAGCGATTGGGGGTGGGATGCGGGGGGACGAGTAGGTCAGCTCACAGCTGGGGACTGAGAGACTGCCTGGAAGCCTCACGGTTCCCCCCCCCGCGGAACTACAACTCCCAGGCGGCATCGCGGCGGGCGCTGCAGTTACGTCACTCCGGCACTGCCAGCTGCCCCCGGGAAGAGGCGCGCGCGCCGGCGGGCGGCGGGCGGGCAGGCAGGCGGGCGGGGGGGGAGGGGCAGGGTCTGGGGCCGACCTGGAACCCGGTACGGAAGATGGCAGCTACTCGACCACCCGGCGCGTGAGGAGGCCGAGGGGCGCGCCACCCCTTCCTGGGGCGGCCGCCCCTTCCCCTCGGGTCTCGCCATCCCTGCCCGGCCCCTTACGGTCGTGGCCCGGGATGCGGAATCCGGGGGCCGCCGGTGGAGCTGCGCGGGGTGGGAGGCGCGGGGAGGAGTGGCTGCCCGCTGCCCTCGCCCTCGGCCCCCACCGGCGGGCACGGCGAGATTCCAGACGCTGGGGTGGGCCGGGCCCTCTTAGCGCCCTGACATCTGGGGGTGGGAACAGGTGAACCTGCGGCTCTCCTCCTCCCCACCTCCCCCACCGCCCGGCTGGGACCGCCGAATCCGAGGGGACAGCCCTGCCCTTTCCAGGGCGGGCTTTGCCTGCTCCCCCAGAGGGCCCCCCCTCTCACCATGGCCCCCAGGAGCGCCCGTGGACCCTCAGGGACCGCCTCCCACCCTGGCCGCCCGGGCCCGCCCTCAGCATCCCGCGGGCACCCGGTGTGAAGCGGCCTCCTGCAGCCCCTCCCCCGCCCATGGAGGAGGAGGAGGAGGAGGGGGCGGCCGCCAAGGAGTGGGGTTCGACCCCCGCGGGGCCCGTCTGGACCGCCGTGTTCGACTACGAGGCGGTGGGCGACGAGGAGCTGACGCTGCGGAGGGGCGATCGCGTGCAGGTGCTTTCCCAAGACTGTGCGGTGTCTGGCGATGAAGGCTGGTGGACCGGCCAGCTGCCCAGCGGCCGTGTGGGCGTCTTCCCCAGCAACTATGTGGCCCCCGCCACACCTGCGGCGCCCGCGGGTCTGCAGCTGCCCCAGGAGATCCCCTTCCATGAGCTGCAGTTGGAGGAGATCATCGGCGTCGGGGGCTTTGGCAAAGTCTATCGTGCCCTGTGGCAAGGCGAGGAGGTAGCCGTCAAGGCCGCCCGGCTGGACCCCGAGCGGGACCCGGCAGTGACAGCGGAGCAAGTGCGCCAGGAGGCCCGGCTTTTTGGTGCCCTGCAGCACCCCAATATCATTGCCCTGAGGGGTGCCTGCCTCAGCCCCCCAAATCTCTGCCTGGTGATGGAATATGCCAGGGGAGGTGCACTCAGCAGGGTGCTGGCAGGACGTCGGGTGCCCCCTCACGTACTGGTCAACTGGGCCGTGCAGGTGGCCCGGGGCATGAACTATCTTCACAATGATGCCCCTGTGCCCATCATCCACCGGGACCTCAAGTCCATCAACAGTAAGTGGTGTCCTCCCCCTCCCCCGCAAACTCCCTTCCACAGAACCTCCCAAGGCCAGGCCTAGGTGATGGGAGGTAGGACCAGGGACACCAGGTGGCACTGTGCTTGGGATAAAGAGGGGCAGCAGTAGATCTTCAGGGCCAAGTGAGGCCGGCCTTGCCTCTAAGGAGGCTCAGAAAGTTTGGAGACCCTTTTGGCGTTGATGGTCACACCTGTAATCCTAGCTGCTCAGGAGGCTGAGATCTGCGGATCCAAGTTCAAAACCAGCCTAGACAGAAAACATCTATGAGATTCTTATCTCCAGTTAACCAACTGGCTCCAGTAGTAGAGCTCCTGGCTGGAGTGAAAAAAGCCAAGTGAGCCTTGAAGTCCCAATACCTCCCCCCACACACAGGTGGAAAAAAAAATGTTGAAGACCAGACTGCCTCCCAGGATACAGTCACAATAGCTCAATAAATATGTCTTCATGCACACAGTGACAGGCCCTACATTCCGTGCCATCAACAGGACGTGCACATAGCCTGCCCTCATGGTACCCACCATCCAGTTATGGTGCCAGACGGACAAAACAAACCTAGCTTACCTGGAGACAGGGTTTCTCATCTCTGGCACCACTGTCATCACTGGATACTGCTGGCTGTGCGCATCAGCATCCTTGGCCTCTACATACTCGGCATTCTCCACTCTGTCCCCAGCTAGGAAAACCAAAAGTGACTCTAGACATGGCCTCGTGTTCCCACAGGGACAAATTCACCAGTTGTTAATGGCTTCCCAAAATCCTCTGGGCAGGCCTCCAAGGCAAACTGGATGTGGCTTATATAGAAGCTTCTAGGCTCCCTGGCTGGTTACAAGTTCCCCCCAAATTGATTGGTTGCTTGAATCCCAGGTGGATGGGAAGGTTCCCCAGGACTCCCATCTGGGCCACAGAGTGACTTGGGAACACTAGTGATTATTATTTATTTTTTTATTTTTATTTTTTGGGTCCGGTTGTGGGGCCTGAACTCTGGGCCTGGGCGCTGTCTCTCAGCTCTTCAGCTCAAGGCGAGCGCTCTACCATTTGAGCCACAGCGCCACTTCCGGCTTTTTTCTTTTTGCTTATGTGGTGCTGAGGAATCGAACCCAGGGATTCATGCATGCAAGGCAAGCGCTCTACCACGGAGCCACCTTCCCAGCCTGTGAATATTATTTATTAAATTAGTAGCCATACAGGGGTGGCTACTAACCACAAGCATGGTTTCTGCCCTAACATTTCATTCATTCTTTTCACAGATAGTTCTGGGGTGCCATATGCTACATACGCAGAGGAGTACACTTCCTAGCTCTCCCATACTTGTTCTGCCCCTCTCCCTCCCTTTCATTCCCTTAGTCATGCCTTCATTCCTTCTCTGGGGATCTGCAAGGCCAGGTGGTGTGCTTAAGTAAAGAGGCGTCCACAGTAAATGGCCAGCATGACCCCTGTTTTCATGCAATTCACACTCAGGCCCAGAAACCTGAGGGTCTTTCTTTGCCCTCAGCACTCATCCTGTTCCCTAATTTTTGCCACTTTGACATAATCAAAATTGTCCACTGTTTTTGTTTTTTAAACAAGTGTGTTGCTAGGCTGCATCAACTGTAACCAAGCCCCTCAAACAAGTCAGAGTGGCCCTCGCTTCAGCTTCAGCTTGTGTACACTCACAGATAGCTACCTGGTGCCCATATATGCTCAGGCCTGTGCCCAGACTGGAGCACTGAGCAAGGCAGAGGTAGACGGGCCCTGTCCTCATTGATGCCCACGTTTCAACTCCTCTGAAACAGCTGGTGGACTTCTCCTGAAGGCTGGGACTGGCCCTTCCTTACCCCTGCTGTTTGGACAATGCTCTGAACTCTGGGTCTGGGCGCTGTCCCTCAGCTCTTCAGCTCAAGGCTAGTGCTCTACCACTGGAGCCACAGCGCCACTTCTGGTCTCATGGACTTTCCTCCCTAGGCTGGCTTTGAACCATGATCCTCAGATCTTAGCCACCTGAGTAGCTAGGATTATAGGCATGAGCCACCAGTGCCCAGCTAGATGTTTTTTTTTTTGGGGGGGGGGTCCGGTCGTGGGGCCTGAACTCTGGGCCTGGGCGCTGTCCCTCAGCTCTTCAGCTAAAGGCTAGCGCTCTACCACTTGAGCCACAGAGCCACTTCCGGCTTTTTTCTTTTTGCTTATGTGGTGCTGAGGAATCGAACCCAGGGATTCATGCATGCAAGGCAAGCGCTCTACCACTGAACCACCTTCCCAGCCCCTAGATGGGGTTCTTAACTAGGGTTTCCCCTTGAGACAGAGGGTTTCCTCCATACCTGAGACAGAAACAGGGTGTCTGTAGCATGGTATATCCATTTCTCCTTCCCCAAGGAGCCCCCTCATCTGGTGTCCTTCATCTTTGGGTTCAATAGTGCCCATGCACAGAGCATTGTCCTAAGCTCTGGGATTACAGGAGTGAGCAAGGCTAGATCAGCCCCCTCCCCTCTCTGTATGAGATTTACATGCTAGTAAGGAGGACTAGATGATACCTGCTGACAAATAAGTAGGTGGACAAAGGGATGGATAAAGAGATTGCCAGACTTTCAGTGGGACCAGGAGTTCTCCGAAATAAGGCGGGCAAAGGGTGGGACAGAGAGAACGGTTTGGATCTGCTGATCAGGGAAGGCAGTGTTGGAGCAGAGATTCACAAAGAGAAGACTGTGGGTCAGGAGAACTCTGGGCAAGGGTCCTGAGGTGGATGAGCTTGACCTCGGCGAGAAGCATAAGACCAGAACCTCTGGAGGGGAGGAGATGAGGTGGGAAAGGTGGGCAGGGGCTAGCTCTCAGGACTCTGAGGCCATACAGAGCACCTCAAGTGTTTCCTCTGATGGTATGAGCACTAGTAGAGGTTTCGACCAGGGGATGACATGGCCGCAATAAGATTTTCAACGGGGATTGATGTAGGCCCAGCTTGGGAGATGCAGAAATAAAGCATAAGGCCAAGGCAAGCTCCATCTGCCACAGCGTTTATACAGCAGGGAGGTGACGGAGACCTAAGAAGGGAGAATGCCTGGGGAGATAGTCACATGCCGAGACATCACAGGAGGCTTCTAGAAGGAGATGGCAGTGTGTGGGCAGTGTGCTGGTCCCGCTGGTCTTCAGTTCCTTGATTTGCCCCATGGGCATGACAGAATAACCTCATGCTTGTCACACTTGGGGAAATTGACAGAGACGTAGAGAAGGTGGAAAAACAAGGAACAGTTTGAGGCCATCACAGGCTAGTAACCAGAGCCATCAGGAACACACTTAGTTTCAGGCAATAAACCTTTATAATCCTAGATAGGATCTGCGGTTGTCATCCTGTTTAACACAGGAGAAATCAGTCATGGCTCCAAGGTGAGGTAAATGATAGATTGTTATAAAGCTAATAAGTGGCAGAGCCCAAGCCAGCTGCCAAGGCCTGTAATCCTAGCTTCTCAGGAGGCTGAAGTCTAAGGATTATGGCTCAAAGCCAGCACAGGCAGAAAAGTCCATGAGACACTTATCTCCAATGAACCACCAAAAAAGCTGGAAATAGAGCTGTCATTCAAGTGGTAGAGTGCCAATCTTGAGCAAAACTGCCAAGCAAGAGTGCAAGGCCCTGAGTTCAAGCCACAGGACTAGCACACACAAAAGATCAAAGTAGCAGAGCTGAGATTCAAAACAAGGCATTGAACTGCACTCTGAGGGGGAAATAGTCAAATATTGTAGCAGAAAGACAGAGTCTGATAACAGCAATAGCTTGTGTCCAGCTATTTTCTAGTCAGCCATATGCTTTTGATCAAATGACTTCTCTGAGTGTCCATTCTTGTGAAAGACTAGATCAGCTGTAAACATTGAATATGTGTGGATGGATCAGTCAGATTTGGTCACAGTGATGCTGTGTAACAAAACTACCCCCCAAAAAACAAACTATCTTAACACAATTGCTTGCTACTGCCTGTATACTTGGAGCAGCAGTAAAGCAGAGAGGCTTTGCCCCAGTATCTCCCATCTTTGGACCAGGGCATGTTGTTATGGCAACAGCAAAAGCTCTAGATGTCAAATAGATACTCAAAGACTCTTAAGAGCCCATCCTACCTGGTTTAGAGCCAAAAGATGGGGAAAGAGCTGTAGAATCACTTGGCAGAGTGGGCACACAGGAAGGGGTGGCACTAGGGCCCCTGGGGACTCTAGAAGACCATAGGGCTAAAATGGAGAATCATTCTTCCCTTCTGGTTTGCTGGTCCCTTGTTCTTGGCCATTCATTGAGTTTCCCAGACTCCAGGCAGAGGACAGAGGGCTCAGGGAACTTGGATAAAGCATGTGAAGAGACTTGTGGGGTTTGGGGCCAGGAAGATGCTGTGCAGAGTGGGGCTTGGTGTGAGGAGAGCCAGCAAGGCAGGTTGGCCCACGGTCCCCACAGGTCTGGTGACCCTGACTTTCTTCTATTACTCCCGTCCCCAGTCCTGATCCTGGAGGCCATTGAGAACCACAACCTCGCAGACACGGTGCTCAAGATCACGGATTTTGGCCTCGCCCGAGAGTGGCACAAGACCACAAAAATGAGTGCTGCCGGAACCTACGCCTGGATGGCACCCGAGGTCATCCGCCTTTCCCTCTTCTCCAAAAGCAGCGATGTCTGGAGGTGCTGAGCTGGGGGGAGGAGGGGGAGGGCTTGGGGGGAGCTCAGGACCGGGGGAGAGAATGAAGGGGGCAGAATGTGTCTCCAGCGCCCTGTACTGACAGGCTCACACAGTTACCTGCTCTGTGACAGAGGTGGCCCCAAGAAGGGACTTGAAGTAGAATGAAAAAAAAAAAGTCCCCAGCTAGGTGCAGGTGGTTTATGCCTGTGATCCCAGCTACTCAGGAGGCTGAGATCTAAGGATCATGGTTCAGAGCCAGTTGAGGCAGAAAAAGCCCATGAGACTCATAACTTGAGCAAAAAAGTTCTGGGACAGAGCCCTGAGTTCAAGCTCAAAGACTAGCGTGCACGCGCATACACACGCACACACACACAATCCACTAAGAGAAGAAAGGTTTTGAAGTTTGGAAGCATGTAAGATAGTTGTAAAGATAGATGGTGGGGGGGGAAGGGTTGGGAAGGTGGTTCAGTGGTAGAGTGCTTGCCCTGCATGCATGAAGCCCTGGGTTCGCTTTCTCAGTATCACATAAGCGGAAAAAGCCGGAAGTGGCGCTGTGGCTCAAGTGGTAGAGTGCTAGCCTTGAGCTGAAGAGCTGAGGGACAGCGCCCAGGCCCAGAGTTCAGGCCCCACAATCAACAACAACAAAAAAAGACAGAGGGTATTGGCATATAGAACGAGGAGTAGATGGCTGGTGAAGGCCATTCTGAGAAAGGGTGGCTTTGGGTCCATTCATAATGTGAGCACCACCAAGGAGCATGGTATGTTCCAGAAGGTGTGGCTGGAGCAGGACAGGAAATGAGGCTGAGAGCTGCAAGGCTCAGCACCCCTGGTTTACTCAGTGCAATGTAGCCATTAGCCCCCTCGGACACTCCTGTGAGCAACGCCATCTGATCCAGCATGTTAAAAGCTCCCTTGGCTATGGGGTAACCACCGGATCTTAGGGGACAGTGGTGACAGGAGGCTGACGAGGCCATGGCAGTGAGCATGGGTGATAGCAATAGAAACTTGTCTACCATGGGCCTCTAGGTCGCCCATTTGCTGTTCCACCAGTTCCCAGGGTCACTGATGGCCAGGACAGCAAATGCAGGATTCTCCCGCTTCCTTAGAGCAGGGCGGCTTCTGGACACCTGTGGCCTCACATCAGGAATTCACAATGACACCCAACAGCAGGGAGGAACAGAAACCCTAAATATGGGGCTGGGAAGATGGCTCAGTGGTGGAGTGCTTGCCTAGCATGCATGAAGCCTTGGATTCAATTCCTCATAAACAGAAAAGTCTGGAAGAGGTGGTGTGGCTCAAGTGGTAGAGAGCAAAAGCAGCCCAGGAACAGTGCCCAGGCCCTGAGTTCAAGCCCCAGGACTGGCAAAAAATGAAAAAAAGAAACCCCAAATAAAAAGACCAAAGGGGCTAAAGGTGTGGCTCAAGTGGTAGAGTGCTTGCTTACCCAGTGCAAGGATCTGAGTTCAAACTCACATACTAAATTTGTATGTGTGCGCGCGTGTGCACGTGCACCACACACACACACACAAAGTTTGTACTTCATGTAAAGCCCAGGACTAACTGGCTGACGATGACCCAGCATGACAGATGATCCTATGCTGGGCTCCTCATCTGAGCGTTGGTGGTGTGGGGCAGAGTGACCCTCCTTGCATGGCCCTGTCCTGTACTTTTCAAGACAGTAAATAGCCATTGCCCCCAGCCACCAAACATCAGCCACATTCCTCTGTCACTGAGGCTGTGAAAAACATCCCCAGAGGTTTGCAGGCACAAGGGAGCAAGCAATGAGGGGGCTTCTGCCACCGCCAGGAGAAAACCTCTGTTACTTTCCTTTACCATGCCCTCCATTCCCAAGCTTGCCTCATGACCCGAGAGGGCTACTTCAGCCCCAGCTTTTTTTTTGTTGGTCATGAGGTTTGAACTCTGGGCCTGGGCACTGTCCCTGAGCTCTTCAGCTCAAGGCAAATGCTCTACCACTTGAGCCACAGCACCACTTCTGGTTTTCTGGTGGTCAATTGGAGATTAGAGGCTCACAGGGACATTCCTGCCCAGGGTGGCTTTGAACCGTGACCCTCATATCTCAATCTCCTGAGTAGCTAGGATGGCAGGCGTGAGTCACCAGCACCCAGCCAGCCCCAGCTTTTATGTCTACATTCTGACTGCTAGGAAAGGGGCACACCTCTTCTCTTTTAGGACATTTCTATACCCTCCTTCATCCCACCGGCCAGAACCATAGTCCTTTGGGCATCCTTGGCCCCAGAGGAGGATGGGAAATCGTTTCAAGCAGCTTACACCCAGCTCAAATTCACCAGTGCTGTCACTGAAGCAGACAGGAGCTGCACACAGGCAGCAGCTCTGCCCATCTGGTTTTGGTGCCTAGAACAACAGTGCCTTGGGCACAGTAGGTGCCAAATGAATGCACGTGTGGCTTGTAGGAGGGAACAAGGATGTAGCACACATTAGGGAGTGGTGATCAGGGCCCAGCGGGTGCCCAGAATCCAGGTGAAGGGGGACACGCCCATAGCAGTCGCACAGTGAGTTCTCCCCACTCTGGGATTGCCAGCTGTTGAGTTGAGCATGGTGGGCGTCAGCCAGAGGTAAACCCAAGTGTGACTCCACCACGTGACGGCTGTGTGGCCTTGAGTGGGCAGCTTGGGCTCTCTGAGCCTGTGCCTGTTCCCCCCAAAACACGGGCATCATACCAATACCTTCTGCCTCACAGGCTGTAGTGAGGATTACCCGGCGTGCCTGGCACAGTGCCTGGCCTGGAATAAATATTTCCTCAGTGGGGGCTGGGAAGGTGGCTCAGTGGCAGAATGTTTGCCTTGCATGCATGAGGCCCTGGGTTCGATTCCTCAGCACCACATAAGCAGGGGGAAAAACCTGGAAGTGGCGCTGTGGCTCAAGTGGTAGAGCACTAGCCTTGAGCTGAAGAGCTGAGGGACAGCGCCCAGGCCCAAAGTTCAGGACCCCATGACTGGACCCCCCCCCAAAAAAAAAACCTTCCTCAGTGAAAGATAGTGTTAACTTTTTTAGAGGTAAGGGCTGTGGGTCCTGCGGACATACAGAAGAAAGTCCTCTTCTCTTGTCTGGCTGTGGAGTCAAGGAAGGCTTCCTGGAAGAGGAGGCAATGTGAGCTGAGATACACCAAGGAAGGGCCGCTTTCATCAAAGGAATGAACAGCACGCGCAAAGGCCAGGGCTGAGAACAGGGATCTTACTGTTCTGTGTGACTGCAGGATGAAGCCGGGCTGGGCTGGGGACTGAGTGTTTAGAAAAGTTGGGGCTCAGAAGGATGGATCTGCCCAGTAGGCATGGGTGGGGGCGTCCTACTGAAGGTGTTCAACCTGGGGCCAGGGAAGGGCAAGAGCAGATGGCTGGCTGGCCCATCTTGTTCATTGGAGAAGCGGGTCTCAGATAGGATTCGGGTGGTCACGCTGGGCGCAGGACTGGGGCATTGGGTGAGGATCTGGGGTGGCTGTGCTATCATTCCATCCTCTCCCTCCCTGCAGCTTCGGGGTGCTGCTGTGGGAGTTGCTGACCGGTGAGGTTCCCTACCGAGAAATCGATGCCCTGGCTGTGGCATACGGCGTGGCCATGAACAAGCTGACCCTGCCCATCCCTTCCACGTGCCCCGAGCCCTTTGCCCGCCTCCTGGAGGGTAAGCCAGGACCCCTGGGGAGGGTAGGCTTTGCTTAGGGGGGCAGGGGATCTTAGGCCTGACCTCTTCCCTTCTCACTATCATGGGGTGGGGGCCCAGAAAGTGCTGGAACCCAGTTGACTCTGGGCAGCTCCCTCCCTGCCTTTCTCTGTGCCAAGCTGTCCCCAGATGCCCTGCCTGCCTCATTCAGGCTGATTCCCGCGCCCCCCCCCATCACTTTCCTTCCTACCCCAGAATGCTGGGACCCTGACCCACATGGGCGGCCAGATTTCGGCAGCATCTTGAAGCGGCTGGAAGTGATCGAGCAGTCAGCCCTGTTCCAGATGCCACTCGAGTCCTTCCACTCACTGCAGGAAGACTGGAAGCTGGAGATTCAGCACATGTTTGATGACCTTCGGACCAAGGAGAAGGTGAATGCGGGATGGAGGGCGGGGGATGGAACGGGAGCCCTGAGTTGGGTGCCTTGGGAGGCTCAGAATCCCACCTCATGGGCCCCAGCCTGCAGGTTCAGCAGGATCTTTTTGCACATTCAGAAAAGACAGTAAGAACAAGGCCAGGGTGCCCATGGCTCACGCCTGTCATCCTAGCTACTCAGGAGGCTGAGATCTGAGGGTCGTGGTTCAAAGCCAGCCCAGGCAGGAAAGTCTGTGAGACTCTTATCTCCAATTAACCACCAGAAAACGGAAAGTGGTGCTGTGGCTCTAGTGGTAGAG